AGAATCCCCAACCACGAGTTCACAAGCATCAGGCAGTCGATGAGGAGACGGTGTTTGGCAGTGGTGAATGCACGGGGCGGCCATACACGATATTGAACTGAGACATGTCGCATTTTTATTCTTGTGACTTGACATTCTGTATACCCATCATTTGGAACGGCGGTGTAGCCTAATGGAACTGATTATGGCAATGTCAGTGTATCGAGTACATCACACAGATCTCAACAATGAAATAATAACAATTTAACCATCTTATCATCTCTTGTTCTTTTATAGTGCCCTGAAGAAAGAATGTGAAGTTTCTTATTTGACTCAGTATATACCAATATGTTTCATATCAGTTAGTTTTTGTCCCACCTTAAGCTTCTTCAATTTCTTATTCAGCTGCAGTTTGTTCTCCTCCCCTATACCCACCGTGATATTGCTAGAACATTGCTGAAAGCGTCGTAAAACCATACTACTCACTGCGATACCTGTTGTCAAACCTAGCAGAGTTTCAATTCATTGCTGAACGTTAATCAGTTGGGTGAATGATGATCAAATTATTCTGGAACAAGTTTCTTCTGATCTGGATACGTCACAATAAAGACGTTGACATCCATAGATCTTACTCTTCTTATGCATTCCACTTCTACATGCCCTTCATTGATTTGGATACTGACACAATGCTCGGAATCATAAAATGTTGCAAGAAATAAATCGGTACAGGGCGATGAACACTTGACAAAAACGGAAAAGAAACAAATGAGAAGAAGCGCTAGAACCTCCAACATTTGGAGGTGCCGTCTTCTCCCTTAGCCCCTGTCAACTTCAACTTCAACTTCTTTATTCTCGTAAAACCACCATCGGTGGTACAAGAACAAAGAATTTACAATATTTACAAATGTGCAAAAACATAAACATGCGTCATGATGAAGAGTGATTTACGTAACAATTTATACAAGTGAGAGATAAAGAGTGATAAACATTTGCTAAGTCTATATTTGAAAGGCGACATGACCTTGTTAAGTCTTGATAAATTTGCCTAATTGGGATATTTGGGGGGAGGGGGGATGAATGATTTTCTGTGGGAATTAAGTGATGTACATTTAAAATGATAATGGAATTTGGTTCAAGGTTCAAAATCGATCTGAACCTTTGGATATGGAGGTCAGTCCTCCAGTGTCTATTCATAGGAGTAACAAAGGCCACTGGGGGTTCTTCAATCTTGGTCAGGCAGGGCATTTTTCACAGTCCTGTTTCTCTCAATACCCCACTTCATGATGTGGCTGTTCGTATCAATATGCAGATTGTTTTCACTTTGTGCCTTTCACATTCCTTCATCCTATTCTCAGCAAAATGATCTCTATGACCAGCCAGCTTCCTGAACCCTGATACCCGTGAAGGTCCGGGTTAAAATACATGTATATATCTAATGCTTGTCGTAAGAGGCGACTAACGGGATCGGATGGTTAGACACATGTCATCGGTTCCCAGTTGCGCAAATCGATGTTCATGCCGTTGATCACTGGATTGTCCGGTCCAGACTTGATTATTTACAGACCACCGCCATATAGCTGGAATATTGCTGAGTGCGGCGTGCAACTAAACTCACTCACTATAAGTTGAATACTGGTTTTGTATTGCTGTCATGCAATACTAAACAGTGACTCTCATTACTTTGCACACTGACTTGTCACTTCACTTTATCACTTTCATACCCACTTTATTCTATAGCTACATTACCCTTTGTCTACACAACCCCACCTGTATGTTTTATGTTTCATGTCAACAGACATGCTTTTTAATTTTTTTATTTTTTTTTGTTCTTCAGTAATATTTCAGAAGATGTGTATACCCTTGTCATAACAGAGTACCTTTTACTTCTACAAATGACATGCAGCATTTTACAAGATTATTTGGTGTATTTTACCATTTAATCGCCCTCTGTACCAACGATTGTCTTACTTCTCCCACAATGTTCGATGCCAGTTGATCTAGTAACTTAAAGATGGGCGGTTGGTGTTTTCTATTTGAAATTACACGGTAATGCTTTAGGAAAATTCTACCATTTGAAAATGTTATTTTCATCTCTCAGCTTGTACAATCCGTCCTTTTCAATTTACGTAATCAATTTACTTTTATCTGCTGGGATATCCACCCAAACCCTGGGCCAATATGTAGAGATCTAATAATTGTTCATATTAATGTTTGTAGCCTAAGAGAAAAACTTGTTACAATTGAAAGTGAATTAAGCGATTATGATGTTATTTGTATTTCAGAAAGTTGGTTAAATAACTCCATAGAAAGCTATGATTTAGAAATTCCCGAATTCCATCGTTTCAGTTTTGTTGGATTAAAATTTACTTGCCACATATCGGCCCAATCAGAAATACGATTTAAGTCATTATTCAAAATTCTTGCAGCTTTGTCTGGGGCTTCTACAACTATATACACTGATGTGTCATCAGCAAAAAGACGAATATTGCTGTTGATGCCATCGACAATATCATTTATGTATACTGAGAACAGTAGCGGCCCTAAGACTGATCCCTGGGTGACCGCAAAATACTAATTAAGAGATCCTGTAGTGGTGGCAAGAAGAATTGCATAGGTACTTGTGGAGGGGAAACATTAATAAATTGGATTAAGGTGGTTTTGTAAATAAAAGAACAACCACCAAAGAAGAAGAAAAAAAGAAGAGAAAAAACAATAACAACAGATTACCATGGATTTGGAATGGAAACGGTTCATTTTGGAAAAATATGAGAGGTAGATACTAAGTGACAGTGGTGTTTGTGTGATTTATGATACAATTAACACCCGTCAAACCAGGATGCTAGAAACAAAAACTATATGCTGTCGCACGTGCAACATGCTTTCTCGTTTACAAAGTCCCAACACAGGTGAAGTGTATGAAGGTAGTATGTCTGTCCATGGACACTAAAGTACTCTAGTATTGTGATCTACCTTCAGTTGTTTGCGATCTATAGCCTGTTTTCATATTGTATATCGTCCTCTATATATAGTTAAAGTATTTTAGATTTAATTAAATAAATTTAAATATAATATCTGTGATAGTCTAGTTGGTTTCTCTGTCTTTTGTCGACAGGTATTTTAAATTGATTACCTTATTTTCATCATCGCTATATGGCTGTAACATTGCCGATGCGATGTTACATTTTAACTCACTCACTCACTAGTATGTCTGTCACATTATTTAGTTATACATATTAACATTGTAACAAAGGTATTAAACTATTCACTTAATGGATAGCTCTTTGTGGATGTTTTAGTGTTACTTGGCCTGGCAAAGATATGTATACATGTACTATTGCACGGCAACTGAAATTGTATTTTTTTAAAAACCCTTGATTATCGTAAAAGGCGATTAACGGCATCGGGTTTTAGGGTCCCTGACTTAGTTGACACATGTCTTCGTATCCCAATTGAGTAGATCGATGCAAAACATTGGAATGTCGATTATTTACAGACGATGTCATATTGCTATAGCATTAAACAACACACTACCAAGTTCTTTAGTTAATCGTTCCAAGCGTTACACGGGCTACTACAACAGGCTGGTAAAACAATTAAAGAAAGCGTTCGTAAAATCCATCCAAGGTCAGATCGCTGATTTTGTATGCTGGCGATTAGGTGCCTCGCCAGTGTGGGGTCGTTTCCCGGATTGGACTCAACCGAAAGGCACTACTAGCTGTACTCAACTGAGAAAGTGTAATTATTATAGGATATTTATATAGCGCACATATCCACGCACTAGTGCATGCTCAAGGCGCTGGTATTTTTCCCTCGATCACTGGATGTCAATCTCAACGGCACATCGTATCATCAATCTCAACTCCCTGAGGAGTATACAACTGCCGAGTTATTGTGGCTTTCTCATCCTTACAAGGTACCCATTCACAGCTGGGTGGACTGGGACACATAGTCACAGTACTTTGTCCATCTTCACTGCACGTTTCTGTACCCGCAACTAGGTGTTCGCAGGTACTCATGTGGCCACCATCTGGTCATATACCAACGGATTCGTGGGTTGTTTTAAGTGCACAGGATTTTGTACTGAACACTAGGGGTTGTGACAACACTGAAAGAGTCTGCACACAAAGTAATCTCAAACATAGCATCTGGTGCTATCAAATCTTCCCGTGATTCAACTAAAACCCGATCCTGTTAGTCGCCTCTTACGACAAGCATGGGTTACTGAAGATCAATATTCTTGATATCGTTTGAGAGACTAAGGGGACTGGTTCGTCAGGCTAGCTGACTTGGTTGACACATGTCATCGTATGACGACGCTCATGATATTCTTTACTGGATTGTTTGGTCCAGACTGGGTTAGTTACAGACCGTCGCCATATACTAGTAGCTGGAATATTGTGGTTAAACAATAAGTGAGTGAGTTTATTTTTACGCCGAGCAATTTTATTGTATGTTTGTTTGTTATTTAACCCCGTAATCGGCAATTTTCCAACTGTATGGCGGCGGTCTGTAAATAATCGAATCTGGACCAGACAATCCAGTGATCAACAGCATGAGCATCGATCTGCGCAATTGGGAACCGATGACACCCGATCCCGTTACTCGCATGTAACAACAAGCATGGGTTACTGAAGACCAATTCTAACCCGGATCGTCACGGGTCTGTGGTCTAACAACAGTCAGCAAAATATTCTCATATGGATCTATTCTATATTACATAAACCCCTTACAGACAGTGATAAACATGAGAAGGCATGCTGCTCCTCATCTCACTGCTGGGGATGTAGACTTCCAATGTCCTGCTTGATGAAACTACAGCCTGTTGTGCTTCATTCGTTGACCATTACTGCTATACCACATAATGACCCATTCTATTCATGGGCGATGGAAGAACATGGTGAATACCAAACCTGTGAAGAATTGTGAATGTCTCGAAAGATAAATTTTCTAACATTCTGATCCACCCTAAAGATGCTGAGGCTAGTAATTATATGATGGGCGCAAGAAAACACAAATTTGCGAAATAACAGCACATTTTATCCTTAAAATATGAACAAGATGTAAACATATATTCATATAAAATATTAAAACTAACTAAGGTAAACAATATTGATAAATATAATAATAACATGTTATTTGTCAGAATAAATTATGCAGATCCTGGGAAACAGTTATTCCAACAATATTTTATCATGCATTATCAATGAAGAAAAGCTATTAACGTCACAAATTAGGGCTTTGTCAATCGAGTAAGTGAGTTGGGTTTTACGCCACTTTTATCAATATTCCAGCACTATCACGGCGGGGAATACCAGATATGGGCTTCACACATTGTACCAATCTGGGAAATCGAACCCGGGTTTTCAGCGCGACGAGCGAACGCCTTAACCACTAGGCTACCCCACTGCCCCATTGTCAATCGAAGTGAAAAAGACATCTTTTAGTCCAAATTATCATATTTATTACCAAGGTCACAGCGGATCCCTTTATAAATGCAAAAAAGTCATGGTGGGACACAGATGTTTTATGCACGCATAGAAATACCATTGTTGCAGGTAGTTTTGCAAATAAGCATGAGGTTCTATTTCAATTTCACTTTTACAAACATATACCTAATATTTGTTTAAAGTTATTGATTAGGTATTTTTTAATCTTGATTTTAACATGAAATTCTGCTTCTCAGATGCAGTTATATTTAATAACCTGAAATATTCATTAAGGGATGTGCTGTACGTCAGTGAAATGTACGTCAGAGAAATGCTTAAAATGTCGCAGTCTTCCTGTTTTTGTTTGTCTTCACCAACGCTAATGATCTGTATGAGTAGACTGTTCATAATTTATTGCAATCTGTAAATTCTTTAATTCTTTCAAATGGAAAATTGTAAGTATGCCCCGCCCCCACAATCCCAAAAGTAACATGTACGGCGTACATCCATCGGCCATGAACTGCCCCCTAAGCGGGAAGGAAGATACCATTTAATGAGGCAACGATGGTAAACTGGCACATTAACAGTGAAATATATAAAAATATATAAATCTATGTACGTACCCAGAAGGCTTTACTTGGAAAGGAGACATTTGAAAAATATACCAAATATGGCACGTTTGGTATTAAACAATCACACTTTTGTGTTTACTTAGAGGACCGACAAGGAACTATAAAGAACAGCATGGTTCCAGGAAAATATCAAAAATACATCAGTCGGTCGAGGCATCATTGAGTTTTGTTGAGAAGGATTACTTCGGCCACTTGAAGTTACACTCTTGTAAGATACCTGGTCAGGTTTCTGGTAACATCAAATGAGCAAAATGGGCTTCATACATTGCACCCATGTGGGAAATCGAACCCTGGTCTTTGGCTTGACGAGCGCACACTTTAACCGATAGGCAACCCTACAGTCTAACATCCAAGCAGTCATGTTATACTGGGCTGATATATTTTAATGTTTTTAACCCAACAATCTGCAACGCAGGTTCTTTGGCCTGTGAAATGAAAAGGCGACCCTCGGAAGTCATCTTTGCATATGAAACGACAAGTCTGGTCAATGTTCGTGAATCTGCAATCGCTCCAGCTAAAATCCTGCACAACTCTGTTGTCAGTTCCGAGTTGCTGAGATCCAGGCACTGGAGAGTGTTTGACAGACGGATCGACTCCGCCAGGGCAACCACACCTGATCTGTCGAGACGAGTGCCACCAAGGTTTAGCTCCTCCAAGGATTCGCCCAGTTTCACACCCTTTGTGAGAGCCTTGATGTCAGAGCTCTCCAGCCTTGTACTACTTAGATTCAGCCTCTTAAGCTTCTTAGAGTGCTCAATCTTTGTGGCAATCTCGCCGGCACAGATTGGGTTCATGGCGCACCCGGCGAAGTCAATCTCCTCAAGAGTCTCTGGAAGATGATGAAGAACATGGCAGACAACAGACGCCATCTTGCAGTTCAGGAAAATGAATTTCTTTATGTTTTCAAGCTTGCTGCAAAAATATTGGAGGTCAGCCCACGTTTCTGCTGTCACGTGCGTAGGTACCTTCTTTGAACAGTCTTCTATCTGCAACGACTGTAGGCTTTGTGTGTTATGTGTTGCGATTGAGAGAAACTTTGCCATCAGTTCAAGCCCATACCACAATACCCTTAATCGTTTCACTCGTGGACTTTTTCCAATTGTTTCTGCAAGTGTTAAGTAGATATCTGGCTGCAACATGTACACTGGAAGAAGGTTGATTTCAATGTGCGTTATGTTCACAAATTCATTAACGAGCACTGCCCGGAGACCATGTACACACGTGTGAGTGATTGTTCCATCTCTCCTGATAATCAGATGGCTTGGCATGGATTCGACAACTTGGGCCAAAACATCGTCTCGACACTCGCTCTCTGACAAAGCCTGAAGACTATGATAGTAGTCCGTCACGTACCCAGAGGTTAGGTGACTTGTAGTGGACGTCTGTCCATCAACTGGCTTTCCATTTCCTGTTCTGTTCAATGCTCTTGTTTGTTTGAAGTTGTGAGTTTTCAAGTCTGTGAAGATATTCCCAAGAGTCGGAGTATCGTGGTCGTTCCTGAACAATCCACACAAGAAAGAGATCATATTGGCATAACACACTCGACTGAGTAGTTTCTGCTCAGCAATGATCTCCCTCAGGTCCTCCATCGTCGTGTCCGCCAGGTACCGAGCGGTGAGGAAATCTGCTAGGAGAGAACAGGTCATTTTCCAACAATTGTTGAGTCCATTTTTGACAAGGACCCCAAATTTGGTCATCAGGATGTTTTGGGTCTCATGGATCAACTCAGCATCTGAGAAGATTCTCCGCGTGCCACAAACAGCATCAAAGGCAAATTGCTGTAACTGACCAATGGTTTTCAGAACTTCATCTGGAAACTCCATTCCAACAACCTCAATATTTTGTCTTCCACAGAAATCTTTCGCCATAGCCTCACCAAAGAGTTCAAACAATTCAGTCGTGGTAGATATGCTTACAATAGAGTGTTCCTTACAAACCTTTAACACCATGGTAGTGGCTAGGCAAATGAAAGGTGAGAAGAGCATATGTCTGAATGTCCATTCATTGTTTTGTGCCATCTCCAGCAGTTGTTCACATTCCTCTGCTGTCATTTCCATTAGGTATCCATATGTCTTTAGACATCTTTTGATGTTAGTAGAGTTCAAGCCAATGTTGAAAAGTTTGGCATCTGCAGTAACGTATCGATGAATGCGGATTTCAGGATGAACGAACAGAACTACAGAAGAGTGTTTCATCTTGGTCCCCTGAATGATTTCCTTAAGTTCAGGACTTGGCACAGCCTCATCAAATCCATCGATCAGGAACACAACATCTCTTGCATTAGCTTCAAGTAAAGACCAAAACTCTTGGACTGATAGTTTTGTGTTCTCTGGCAGGACCTGTTTGCAGACTGAGTCGTGGAAGTCTGCTCCAATTGCATGCGCATCTATGTAAACCAGGAATTCGTATTTCACCTTGAAGTAGTTCTTCTGGTTCGCCCAGGTGTATGTAAGCATCGTTGCAAGAGTTGTCTGTCCAGTCCCAGGATCCCCTTCAATAACAATTCTCTTTCCCTTGCCGGAGTTGTTCTGGGAAGGAAATATATCACTCAGGTGCTGTTTCTTCCTGAAGAATTAATTGAAAGTTATGGTAAGTAATGCATAAACATTCTTGTATAGACTGCATATAGCAATCCTATATCATAAACTAAATGACTGGCTGACTGGCTGAGTGTGATTTTACGCCGTTTTTAGCAATATTCCAGCAATATCACGGCGGGGGACACCAGAAATGGGCTTCACAAGTTGTACCCGGGCCTTCGGCGTGACGAGCGAACGCTTTAACCACTGGGCTACTCCACCGCCCCATAAACTAAATGAATACGATATGTTTGTATAGTTTCAGTTTCAGACTCACCAACCATTCATGCATATGTTCTAGAACTAGAACTTTGCCCCGTGCATTCTGTGGTTAGAATTGGTATCTGCAATTGTGTCTCATACACCCTTGTCATAAGAAGAAAAAAACAGGATCGGGCATCAGTTTGCTGATTTGTTTGATGAATTATAAATGTTTCCCAATTGGGTATACAGATGGGATGATGTTAATAACTGGTCTGTCTGGTGCAAAGCGCTATTATTTGCAGACCACCGTCATATAGCTGGAACATTGCCGAGTACGGTGTTTAATAACAACAATCAAATAAAGGAAACCCAAGTTCTATGGATAGTCAACTTCTTTATTGCAATGAGTGCGACGTTTCGGTGTTGCTTGATAACGGTGTTAGTACCTACACCCAAACGTCGCACTCATTGCAATAAAGAAGTTGACTATCCATAGAACTTGGTTTTCCTTCATCTATACAACTTCTAAAATGCCTCTCAAGAAAACAATCAAATACAAACACATTCACTGACAATATTCAGGGATGATGCACTCATGACGTAGGCTTTACTGAAAAGAGACTACATCGTTCAGTAGAAACTATTTACCCATTTGCCAACTTTCGGAGGTTCATCAAAATTCCATGAAGCGTATTCCAGAAATATTTATCCAGTGTGACATTAAATCGGCCTATACATACCACTGTTAAGACACTCACCCTTCACTGTCCACAATGTCAACTGGAGTATAGAAGTCCCGGACACTCATATGCAGCGAATCTATCCATGGCAGCGGTGTGCAGCGGGAGAAGGCCAGTTTGTACATGGAAGAGAGAGCTTCCTGACACACGCTCACCAGGTCTACAACATCAATTGTGTTATATTAAACATCAGACGTCACTACTAGAAACGAGTAGTTTAAGAGCTACACTGTCTTGGGCGGATTTGATATTGTAATCATGACCAAATAGCCTCCTGGCACTTGATCCCAAAGCCCACGTCCACTGGGATATGAAATTTTTGAGTAATTTTTCAAACAAACTCTAAAAAAATCTAATTGAAAAGAATTGTCTCGGGTGGACTACATTGTAACAATGATATAATGATCATATAATGCACATCTTGTGATCCTAATTCATATCTTTTAAAGGTTCAGCTTAGTGCCTTGATAACAACACTGCAGCTATAGAAAACATTTATGCATCCCGTGTTACGGTATACGGGTTTTATGCTCCCCGTGTTAAGTTTTATCCACAGAGCGGGTATACGGGTTTTATGCACCCACGTGTTAGGTTTTATCCACAGAGCCGGTATACGGGTTTTATGCATCCCGTGTTAGGTTTTATCCACAGAGCCGGTATACTGAGTTTTATGCGCCCCGTGTTAGGTTTTATCCACCGAGCCGGTATACGGGGTTTTATGCATCCCGTGTTAGGTTTTATCCACAGAGCCGGTATACTGGTTTTATGCATCCCGTGTTAGGTTTTATCCACCGAGCCGGTATACTGAGTTTTATGCATCCCGTGTTAGGTTTTATCCACCGAGCCGGAGGTGGATAAAACCTAACACGGAACGCATAAAACCCCGTATACTCCGAATCATAATGCTACAACGAATTTATCGTACCGAATGTTTACATATCTCATTATGTAAATATAACATTAAAACAAACCGAAATTCAGTCATATAATTTATTAATATGGTACTGACTAGTCGATCCGAACCACTGGTTCACGGTTCCCTGACTGCCATGGATACATGCTTTTTCCATGGGGCGGGGTATGAATGATTTATTCTCCCTCGCAAAGAATTATAGAAGTGGTGATCTACGTCACATCAGGCGTTCCTCAGACATCAAGCTGGCACATGGACAGATAACTGGAATACCGTTTAAAGCTAAACTAAACCTATACACTCACCAACGATTACATAAAGAAAATCCTTACCGACAGTCTCAACAATGCCTTGTTTATAAGTAGCCTTCCTCGTCCGCATTACCATTTCATATTCCTTGGGGTATTTGAATTTGAGAGCATCACAGAGAAGCTTGAAGGCATAGTTCACTCTGGAGGTGAGGATCTTGTCCAGAATCAGCTGCATTCTCTCCTGGTTCTTGCTGAGAGCCATAATCTCCTGTCGGTCACTGATCTTGATTATCTGCCCTTGTTGGAGGCGGTCCATGATGTCCTCGGCGATGATGCTGTCGACTAGGGTCTTGTACACTTTCATGATGACGTGTTTGTCCTCAGGAGGTATACCTGCATTGGATTGAGAGTATGTTGTCATTGTGCAAACTCCAAGGAGGAAATATGAACATTGAACAAGTTCTTTTCATTTTATACGATCACTAACAAACATGCCATACCTGTGTCAGACATTATGCCAAAATTATACTTGTAATATGTAGAACATTGTCTGGACCCAATCAACTTGAAAGTGTTACCAAAAGTGGACTCTTTTTATACAACTAGCGTATTACTTTGTGGTAAGTACACATTACCTTCATCTTCTTTTTTTCTTTACCCTCGAACCTCGTTTCTTTGGAGATTTTGATGACGTCTGGCTGTGACGTGAAAGAGCCTCCAGGTTTGCACTGAACATCCCTTTCTCATCCAGGGTCCAGATATCTTTAATCAGCTGAATGTAATGGTTCTGGAGGTCTGGAGGAACACTCTCGTTATCAATTCTCTGGATCTTTATTCTGGCTGGAGGGCCACCAAGCCTTAGCAGCACCTCCCCGATCTGTTTCCACAACACTGGGTACTCCTCATCTCGGACACCTCCCAGACTCCCGATCTGCTGGAACAGGATGGACAACCTGACTACATCCGCACTCAAACTGCTGTCTGTTCCAAGAGGTAAAGCATTCCATCCATGTGGATACGGAGGACATAGGTGACAAATTGTCTGCAGGAGAATGGCTAGAAGCCGACTGTCGTATCTCTGCGATGTGACACTTCTCTTCTTTATGGGATACAGGGTCTTCCAGTGTTTGTCGGTCAAGGCCTTCTGTTGGTGCAGTCTTGTAAGCATGGCCTTGACGTGGGTTTGAGAAAGATGTTCCTTGAGGACGAGAGGTGGGTGAATCGTGTCGAATGTCACACGTAATGCATGTGTACCAGCGTCATGCAGCAGCCAGCACAGCTTGGCCAGGTATTCCCTCTCATTGGCCGTCAGCAGGTAGTGGGCACTCTTTGTAGAAGCGTCCATACTGGCCTCTGTGGCTGAAGAATACAATCACACATGATAGTAATTAACGGCAGATGTTTTTGACACAAAGAGAATGTGCATTACTGACTTCAATGTATTCCCAGGGCGGTGTGGACGCCTAGTGGTTAAACCGTCCGTTCGCCACACCAAAGGCCGGATTCGAATCCCCTGAAATAGGTACAGTGTGTGAGGTCCATTTCTGATGTCCCCCGTCGTGATATTGCGGGTATATAAAAACACTCACTAACTCGCTCATTTGTGACTGAAACTGTTATTATTATTTTTATGTTCATGTTCTACAAGGGGTACATAGCTAGTTTAAAACGCCGACACCCGTGGTTGTCTAACTCGGAGGGTTCAGGTAAGTTGTTGCTGAGCATCCATGTGAGAGAGATCTCGGTATACCCAAACAAGTTCAGATTTTGGAACCACAATCCGACTGGGAAGTACGAGATTTTACGACGTTTCGAAAACTAATATATGCATACTGGGTCCCGATCCACAAAGCGTTCGTAGCGCTACGACATTCATAAACTATAGAGTTACGACATGTCGCAACGCTACGAACGCTTTGTGAATTGAAACCCTGGAGTCTAATTTGTGAATGAACGGTGTTTTGACAAAGAGCAGACACCGATGCCAGTTGTTTTGTAACCAATATCCATGTGGCTATATGTCATATATTAATGGTGTCATAGGAACATGTACAAAAGGCGATGTTTTCGTTGTACATTATGATGAAATTTCATTCATTGTACTTGTGCTTTGCCTTGTAGCTGAGATACTTCCTCGCACACAGACTCCAAACTAAACTAGAGAGTAGATATGTGGGTGTTGTATGTGGAAAGGTACTTTGAATCTAAACTCATGTGGGCCGACATTGTATAGTCACATAGTCAGTTTTCTCAAACACTGTGAAACGTTTCACCATGAGAGGCAAATGCCAAAACATGTAATTTAGTACAAGGTTATTCTACATTCCAACTTGTCGTGGGTCCTTTATTGAATATGACTAGTTGTACCGTGTGAATGGCCATTGTTTTCGAGGCGGTTCCTTAGGGACCATTCATAATTTATGGCTAGGGGATGTGGTAAGGATTTCTATGGAGAAGCATGAACAATGTGAATGATCCCCCCCCCCCCCCCCCCCCCTAAAATATATGTACAAAGTCAGTGATATCACCCCGCATGTCATGTACAAATTCAATGACCCCCTCCCCTTTCCTATAATTTTTAAGCACATATTTTAAGTATTTTTATGTACACAATGGCTGACCCCTCCCCGTACATTTGTACAAATTGCTGACCCCCAGTTCCCCAGAACAAAATGGGTTCTTTCTCTCCTCCCCTCCCCAAATTCAAAAGGTAAGAAAAGCGGTTTGTCACCGGAAGTAATAAGGTTTTGCGAAGTGCCGTGACCTACTTACGAGTCGTATTGGTCACTTCGGGCTGCCATCTAGCGTCAGATGATATCTGATCTAATAGAGCTCCACTCACTTTCACATGAACCTAACCTTCTGTTCCCAGCAGATTAGTGAGCGGCCCCTATCAGCTTCTCCCAAAGAATAATCCAATTATCAACAAAATATTTGTTTTCAAACACTCCGTTGCTTCTCAGCAACATTGTGGTTAGAAAATAAATCATTACCATGGCCGGTGGATATATACACTCTCAGCCAGTAGTTTCATTGTTAATTCATGAAATCCCCGTACTGCATTATTTACATGGCATTATCCCCCTGGGAACAAACAGAGTTGCAATCATGCACGTTGACTGTAAATGTCATGTAAACTGTTATTCCTTCAGCTTTGAACATGCAATGCAATCACGAGACAATGTAATGTGTTTGCTCATTTGCAAAATCCCTTAATGGCAAAAGTGTGATTAATGTGTAGCCTGCAGAGGTCGAAACTTGAGAAGAAATCGATCAATTGAATAGGAGTTTAAGGTAAGGGGAGCTGGACATAATATAGCTAATAGCGACAAAATCATTGTATGAGGATTCTCCTTTCAATAGCAGGTAAGATTTCAACTAAATCATAAACACCTGTATGTGAATCAGTGTTAAATGTTGATAATATAAGTATCCCGCCATACTGGTGGCACCCGTCATAAAAACATGCAAAGGCGAACCAAGCCTTCACCAAAAAGAGTGCCTTTGGTACAAGTCAAAATAAGGGAATTATATAGGGCGAGAGATATCTTGTTTGTAACTGATGCGTGAGTGAGTGAGTGAGTGAGTTATTTTTACGCCGCACTCAGCAATATTCCAGCTATAAATATAGAATGTAAATAATCGAGTCTGGACCAGACAATCCAATGATCAACAGCATGAGCATCGATCTGCGCAATTGGGAACCGATGACATGTGTCAACCAAGTCAGCGAGCCTGACCACCCGATCCCGTTAGTCACCTCTTACGACACGCATGGGTTACTGAAGATCAATATTCTAACCCGGACCTTCGCCGGTTTGTAACTGGTGCGTCATTGGGAAGTATCTTTACATGTCAACCTTAAATGATTACGAACCGCCTCCGTGGTGTAGTGGTTAGAGCGTCCGCCTGGAGAGCGGAAGGTCGCGGGTTCGATCCCCGACCGCGTCATACCAAAAGACGTTAAAATATGGTACTTATTGGTCCCTGCCTGGCGCCCGCCATTAATGGGTACAACAAGGTCTGGTCGGCTCGGAGTCAGTATAATGTGTCTGAGTGGGGTATTCATGCATTACTGCGGCATGGTATCTCAGTGGGCTAGCACTATAAAACCAGCTTCAGTCTGGGCTAGTACAAGCAGCCGCACATACACGTACACGCGCATGCACGTCGTCATATGAGCAAAATATTCTCAAGCACGACGTTAAACCCAATTTCACCTCACCTTAAATGATTATGAGAGTTTTAACTACTTAACACAGATTCGTGGCACAACATGTAGTAAACTACGTAAATTCAATTCATTTGATGACAGACAACTTGTTTATCGTCGGAGAAGAAAACGTACTGCCCGTTTTTGCGGGGTTGTCGTGACGAGAGGACGCCATTGGTCACCATTGATGGTAAGTTGAATGTCCTTCCCTACAGAGATGAGGCCCTGTCGTGCTTCCATTCCTTGTCAACAACCACAGGTAATTATGTTCCAGCACGACAATGCCAGGCCTCATACTGCTGACTTCGTGCAAAACTTCCTTAACGTCAACAGCGTCATCCCATAGAGCACTTTTTGGATATCATGGACAGACAAAATCGACGGCAACAACAACCTCCCAACACTCGGGATGAACTCATTGTGGCCCTCCATGAAGAATGACGACGCATCCCACGTGACGTCGTCAGGCGTCTGACGAATTCAGTGCGTAGCGAGACTGTTTACCTGCATTAAAGCCAATGGAGGTCACACACTAGGGTGACACATTACACCACCCGTGGTCATGTTGTTTACAATACCGTTTATTGTGGTCATTTATGTTTTGTAGTTTTCTCGCTCTAGTATGGTGATCTACCTTCAGTTGTTTTTATATTGTATCGTCCTCTATAGTTAAAGTATTTTAGATTTAATTACTAGTTTTAAATATATATCTGTGGTAGTCTAGTTGGTTTTACTGTCCTTTGTCGACAGATATTAAAATTGATTACCTTGTTTTCATCGCTATATGGCTGTAAAATTGCCGATGCGATGTAAAATTTTAACTCACTCACTCACTCAAATCAGCTGCCAAGTTTCGTTAGTTAATTAAAACCATCACTCTTTCCCAGAACCACTATACCTTCGGGAGTCCAGGCTTAATTATTTTCTCTAAAAATTCCAAAAGATTACATTAATATTTTAATTGAATTGATAAATGTACACACCTGAGGGCTAAAATCTTGTGTTTCCAAAGAGAGTCTGCATACATTGACGAGTCATGCCTCTGGCTGCTTAACTGTGAGAACAATCTTCACAAGAAGATTTAAATCAAGAGCGTTTAAATCAAGACTATCTCGGCCCCATGGCTCTTCACTAAGAAACAACACGAAGTCCTTCTTATGTATAGAGTTCCGTATGGAGATCTACTGATTACCCTGAGAAGACAACGTAATGCTGGCATTAAGAATACGAACTCTCTTAACGTCATCATTACGCTGAGTTTATCGTAACTTGCCTAACGCCATATAATCTGTGTATGGGACGTTGGGAGGCGTATCTATCAAATATCTCCTCTCGTAGATCAGTCTACACTCATAGGTATTACAGAAAGGATCGGCGTTAAGGCCATGTGAGAACACCCGTCCCATATTTCACCGACACAAGTGGAGTTCCAGGGTTGAGGGTAGACGATGAAATACCGGACTCATTTATACTGTAAAAGTGATCGGAGGGGGTCGGTGAAGGAGGCAGGGCTGGAATGGCAATTAATTGTAAGTGCAGGATTTGAACCCGAGGTGGGAGAGAAGGACTGGGGTACTTCGCATTTTACGTGGGGGTTTCAGTAGGGCTGGCTATCGATATAGATCATAGATATCCAACATCGTTAAATGAATCACGATCGATTATCGATAAATATCGGAAAAGTAACTTCGAGCAAAATGACTAATATATCTGGAAGAAATCAACACATTTCACATCAGTGGTGAGTGGTGACATATGTAGGTATGGGTCACTAACAAAACATTCTTCTGACCATACTTTAAGAGCAGCCCATGAATACAGAATTAACTTTGTGTATTTTCTGAATAAAAAAATCATGCTTAAAAAAATATTTCATCACAATAGTTCACGTACGATATTATCGATTATACAATTTGCACATCGATAACATTCTCATGCCAATAATGGTTGTCAACCCCTCCCCACCCCAACCCCACACACACCTCACACACCACCCCACACCCCTCTCCAATTAAAAATATTGAAGGGGGTGACAACCATTATTGGCATGAGTATAATAATGATTCCCATCAACGATATTTCCGAGTGTCGATCATTTTAGCCGGCCTAGTTTTCGGAGGACTTAACGTTTTCCCAATGATGATTT